CCATTAGTCCTGAAGGAGAAAGCCAAGCTGCACAGAAGGTATTGGCAAAAAACAAGGCTCTGTGAGATGATGGAATACAAATTGAAATCTTTCAACAAAATGCAGCACTGGAGGTGCTCACACATCTATTCCAAGAAATTTGGAAGACAGCTACCTGGCCAACACATTGGAAGAGATCTATATTTGTTGTCATTCCAAAAAAGGGTGATACAACAGAATGTGGAAATCATTGAATAATATTAATATCATATGCAAATAAAGTTTTGATGAAGATAATTAGAAAAACAGTTGCAATTGTACACTGACAGTGAACTGCCAGACATTCAAGCCAGATTCAGAAGAGAATGTAGAACAAGGGATATCATTATTGATGACAGATGTATTTTGGCTGAAAGCATAGAATGCCAGAAAGCTGACTTGTGCTTTATTGACTATGCAAAGACTTCTGCCTGTGTAGATCATGAAATACTATACCTAACAAGGTGAAGAATGGACATTCCAGGACATATAACTGTGCTCATAAGGAACCTGTACATAGACAAAGAGGCAGTTTATTGGACCAGAACAAGGGGATACTGAGTTGATTAAAATCAGGAAAGGTGTGGACAAGGGTATCCTTTCATCAAATTTATTCATTCTGTATGCTGGGCATATAATCCAAGGAGCCGGATCATATGAAGAAGAACATGGCATCAGGATTGGCAGAAGACTCGTTAACAACCTGTGATATGCAGATGATGCAACTTTGCTTGCTGGAAGTAAAGATGACTTAAAATACTAACTGGTGAAAATAAATGACTACAGCAGTATGGATTGCGTCTCAAAGTAAAGGAAACAAAAATCTTCACAACTGGACCAATAAAGAACATTGTGATAAATGGAGAAAAGACTGAAGTTGTCAAAGACTTCATTTTCCACAACTCACGGAAAACAGCCATCAAGAAATCAAACAATGTATGGCATTATGCTAATCTACTGCACAAGACCTCTTTAAAGTGTTCAAGAACAAAGACATCAGTTTGAGGGCTAAAGTGAACCTGACCCAAGCCATAGTATTTTTAATTACTTTACATGCATGTGAAAGTTGGGCAATGAATAAGAGAGACCATACAAGAATTGCTGCATTTGAATTATGGTGTTGGAGAAGTATCATGGACTGCCAGAAGAACAAACAAATCTATCTTGCAAGAAGTACAGTCAGAATGCTCCTTATAAGCCAGGATGGTGAGACTTTGAAGCTCATGTTTCTAACATATGAAGGACCAGTTCCTGGAGAAGGTAATCATGCTTTGTAAAGTGGGGAGGGTCAGTGAAAAGAGGAACATCCCCAATGAGATGGCTTTACACAGCGGCAGCAGCAAAGGGCTCAACCATGACAGTTGTGGGGATGGTGCAGGTTTGGGGAGGGTTTTGTTCTGTTGTGCATAAGATCACTGTGAGTTGGAAATGACTCCATGGAATCTAAGAACAATCACTGGGATTCAGAGCTTTTTCTTTTAAAATGTTCTGTAATTCAGAAGTCTGAAGTGCTGTGAAGCAGTTTGGATAAAATTCTCAACAAAATTCTCGAGACTTGAAACCTTTGAAGACTGAGCAGGTGCATTGTCACGATGGAAAAAGATTCTTCTGTGTAACTTTTCTGATCTTTTTTTTTAATCACCAATGCCATTTTCAATTATCTGACAACTTTTTAATAATAAGTTCCCTTGATTGTCTCCTGTCCCTTAAGAGAATCTATCACAATTACTTCTTGTTGTTGTTAGTGCCCTCGAGTTGGTTCCAACCATAGTAACTCTGTATAGGATTTCGAAGGAGTGGCTGGTGAGGTTGAACTGCCAACCTTGTGGTTCAAACTGACCTTGTAGTCCAGTGCATTAACCCACAGTGCCACACCAGGACACCCCTTGTTTTTGTTGTTAAGTGCTGCCGAGCTTTTTCCTACCCAAAGCGACCATGTACCGGTTTCCAAGGAGCAGCTGGTAGCTTGAACCACCGACCTGTGGTTCCAACAGACTTTGCAGTCCAGCACATTAACCCAACAGCTAGGGATCCAAAAAAACCAGTTGCTTTAATCTTCTGAGATGACCTCTCTGCCTTGCATTTAACTGACACTCAGAAACTATAACCAATTTGGTTATACTGTTCTATAAATATCACTGAGGTCATGATGGCTTCTAATGTTGTTCAGATCATATAGTTCTTAGTGATATTTTATCTGAATGATTTATCAATTGCTGGAAAAGGGTGTGAAAATTTCCTAAGAGAAAAGTATAACCAACAAAAAAGGAGCTCTGGTCAATTCAATACAAATACAATGACATCACAATGTCTTTAACAGAGATAACAGACAATTTTAACTCACACACAGAAACAAGACAGAGGGACTCAAATAACTGATCAAAATACATAGTCGGAAAATATAATACCAGTAATGGTATTGGAAATACCTGATAAGAAATTTAAAATAATAATATTTAGGAACCTTCAATTGAAAGAAAGATTGAGAAAGTTGCAGATGAAATCAAGAGGGACACAGATAACATTTAAAATAATTCAGGAAAACAGGAAAAGAATAAACTAACAAATGAAAAATTAGAAAATATAAAAACAGCAATACTAAGATTTAGATAACTTTTTGAGAAATAGATAATATATTGAGAGGGCAAAAGAGTAGAATTGAATCAAAGGAAGGTCGAATGCGTGAGCTTGAAGACAAATCTCTTAATATTCATCTGCTAGAGGAACAATTAAAAAAATTTTTAAATCCAAAGAAAGCCTAAGAATTATGAGGCCACAACTATGATAAACAATGTATGATCAGAATTCCAGAATAGGAAGAAGCCAAAAATAAACAAAAACAAAGAGAAAATTGTTGAAGATTTCTTGAAAGAACAATTCTCTACTAT